CATCGCACCGCTCATCAGCCGCAGCTAAGCCCCGTTAATGCCTTGTGGACACGCTGTTGCTGGGGTTACCGTATACATATTGCACAACCTCCGAAACACTTCCCTCTGTTTTGTAGCAACTTGTGCTAGAGAAGCAGCGTTCCCGCATAACCTCATCCCACCCCAGATGCAGCCGAGCCAGCAACTCATTCCTGAAACAAGATGACTTTGAGGAGCCTGCGGTGCCCAGCCCCCGGGGAGGCGAGAGGCAAAGAGGACGGAGAGTGAGTGTGGAGGGGGCTCCAAGGGTGCGCTCGTGCAAGCTCTGAGCTGCACCCTGGAGCAGTCACAGCCCTCCAGGACTCCGTGTGAGGGTAGGGAGACAGGCATGGACCTAGGAGGGACAAGCCCAGCACCCAAAGCCGTGCCTTGGTGCAAGCCTGGAATTATGCGACTCATTAAGCTCCCCAGGGCAGGAGACAGCCTGGGAACATCCTGACCTTTCCTGGAAACCACAAGAAGGGAAAGGTCTTCAGGGGCCTGAGCCCTGAGCTGTGTCCATGCTCCTCCACCACATCACAGGACCTGTGCAACCTCCTCCTCAGCTCCTGCCCATCCCACGGGCTCCAGACCAAGTCACGGCCTCCTCCCGGGCTTCCTTTTCCGGGCTGCAATGAGGAACAGCAGGAGCTGGCCAAGGACCGTGCTCTGTCCCAAAAGGGCTGTCATGGTGACAACAAATGCACAACAAACCCTGGCCCTTAGGAACCGAAATCCAGCCTGCTCAACCTGACCCCACAGGGCAAATTGCCAGCCCTGGCTTGATGTCCCCTGCTTGCCTGGCTCTCCCCGTGTGCCACCTCTTGGCTCTGCGGCCCCTGGGGCCGGCTGGAGCTCTGGCGGAAGAGTTGCCGACGTGCCCAGCCCTGGGCTCAGCTCCTGCCTGCTGCCAGCTCTGTAGATCTGGGCTCTTGTGCTGCCTGCTGCTGCCAAGCCCTGCCAGGCTCCAGCCGGCGTCACCCAGGCTCCTCTCAGGAGCTGTCGGCTGGAAGCAGAGCCCGAGACACCCGCTTCGGTGGGGAGTTGCAAGGCCAGCTAAGGACAAGGCTGTACCTTCAGCAAGACTTAACCACCCCCCTGGGTACAGCAGCCCCAATTACCGCACTCTCCTTAAAGCAGAGAGCAGGCGAGCAGCTCTTCCCCGCTTGCTGTGGGGTGGGATGATGGCCCAAGGTCCTTGCTGGCCTGGGGGGAGGCTGGTTTAAATTCCCACTTCACAGCAAGCCACTGTAACCTCTGCGCTTTGGGACCTGCAGCGCCCGGGATGTGTCTGAGCTCTGCCAGGACAAGCCGGACAGAGGGGAAACACTTGTTGGTGAGGTCTGCCTGGACTCTGGCATCAGGCTGGTCCAGCCCTACCAGATGAGCCTCTACAGCCGCCCTGCCCACATCTGGCTGTCCCCTCCAGGGTGTCCTTACCGCCCTGCCTCTGGCAGCTCCTGCCGGTGGAGAGGTTACAAGGCTGGTTGGGGGACATGGCAAAGTGAGGTCTTTCGTGTGGCTGTGACCATCTGGGGGTACCCCAGGCGGCCAAGTGCTGTGGCATGCCTGCACCCTCCGACACCAGCCCTGGCACTCACCTCCGAGGTACAGGGTAAAGTTAGGGATCCCAAATCACAGCCTTGCAGAGCTGGCTGGTGGTCACCTCCAGAGGTCTCCAGACCTTGCTCCAAGCCAGGATCAGTATGAGTGGGTTGCTCAGGGCTTGGTCTAATCAAGATTTGGCAGCAGGGCCCCAGCAGAGGACACGTGCCCTTCAGCCGAGAGGGGGCGAGTGTCACAGAGGCTGTACCCCAAAGCAAAGGGCTCTGGGTGCAAGTGCAGAACTGATACCCCTTGCCCTGCAGCTCCTCTGCACAGGGACCAGGGCAGACAGAGATCGCATGGTGCCAAATGCTGCTGCCTGCGTTGTTCGAGTCACTGCCTGGCCCCCAAGCTGCTGATTTCCCCGCAGGACCCTTCATGGCAGCAGCAAACCGCACGCTCCGTCTCCTTGGTGCAAATAACTCTGGGTGATGCTGCACTGGCCGTGCACCTGGAGGGCGGCCAGGGAGTGCCAGCGGAATGCCAAGGTTGGAGCGGGCTCTGGGCAAACAGCTGAGGTGGGGCTGTGAGTAAGTGATGTGGGTTGTGTCGGGACTCCATGGCAACCACAATATTTGGGTGTTGCTTCAGCCCACAGCACCCGCTGGGAGCCCCGTGTGTGGTCGGGCTGGGGGTGAGGGAAGGCAGCAGCCACGTGGGCAGGTGCCTGGCTGCCCCCAGCGTGGCTCCATGGGTGTCTTGCCAGGACGTGCAGAGGGGACAGGTGCTCACCGTGGTGCCTGGCGTGCCAGGACGGTTGGTATTCATCCCCTTTGGTCCATGGGGTCACCCACTGAGAGGGGCCCGTTCCTCTAGGAGGGACAGGGCTGTGGGGCAGGACGGGGGGGGGAGCCTGCGGTGGCAGGGCGGTGGAGAGACCTTGTGGGGTGGTGGAAGGGCCTGGTGGGGCGATGGAGGGGCCCTGTGGGGTGACAGAGGGGCTCTGCAGGGTGATGTAGAGGCCCCGTGGGGCGATGGAGGGGCCCCTGTGGGGCAGTGGAGGGGCCCCATGGGGCAACGGAGGGG